TTAGTCCTTGACTATCTAGAAGAGGCATGTACAGTTCTGGGATTGTTTCCATAGAATTTTTCTTCTCTTCTTGCCTCTTCTTGTTCACTTCTTAGCAATTTCACTTTACTGAGAAGTCGGAGAGATAGAATAGGAGAGATGAAAAGAATTATGTGGAGTACAGTAGGAAAGATGAAAAGGTGTAAAAGTGGCAACAATAAACTTCCCTTTTTCTTAAGGAAAACGTGTTTTGTCGTACAGGTTATGTTTTAAGAGTGGATGAAAGAATAAGGGATGGTTGGTGTGGGCTAGGACTTAAACTAGATTTAAGTTAGCCATGCATGTATTCATTTGAACGTAGGAAACAACTGCAATGAAATATTCAGTGGGAAAGGTGACATTAGGTATTTAAAGCCATACAAAGACTAGTTCTTAGTGACAAAGTCTCTATGTCTGCACCCCCCACCCCCAGTTTTAACTATTTTTAGACAATTCACCACATGCATATTTTGTAATGAAATAAACACAAGTTATGTCTTTCTTGATTGTAATCAGTCAGTACATAGGTCTGAATGAATACATTGATTAGGGGGTAGTTAGAAGGAGAGGGGTGGGGAGGTTGGGGTGAGGTCGTGTCCCAGGTAGGCTTCAATGGATGAGCAACTCAGGCTTCCAGTGGGCGTTGGTGCCGACCCAGCGCTCATTTAAACCTCCCAACTTGACCACAGTTTTTGTTCCTGTGTCTTCCCTTCTCAGCCAATGTACTTACAGGAGAAGCTGATCCTACTCTGAATTCCAGGGGCAGGGTTTACTGGAATAAATGCAAACTCTTCCCAGTAAATGGCTCTGGAACAGAGGATGAAATATTGGTTCAGGAACAGGCCAGTGGGACGTTGAGAGGGAGTTTACCGAGAGCTTTTGGGAAAGAACCTGTAGGCTCATAATGGAGAGCTACCGGAAGTCATGGGACCTCCTCACCTTGACTCCGTGGTCTGTGTATACGAGGCCTGGGGCTGGTGGCCCGAGGGTAATCCCTGCTAAAGAGGCAGCAGGACAAAGAAGCTGGCGGAGAACAGAGCTGGGTCCCTGACTGAACTTCCTCTCCCCTTTGCCCTTCCTAGACCTTATTAATGAACCAATGAATAGCTTTGATTCAAAGCCATCTTTACTTGAGATTTCTGGGGTTTTTTTGAAGCCAAAACAAACATTTTAACATACAGAATTCCAATTTATACTTCCTTAATGTTGTTTGTGTTTGTTTTTTAAACTATAAGGTTTGGAATCATTTTCTGGTTATAAAACTAATACATGCTCATTGTAGAGAACATGGAAAACATTGAAAGGTACCAAGAACCATTAAACCCTCCTAAAATCCTATTACCCCTTAGATACCTGCTATTGATGTTTTGAATTAGTCTTTTCTTTACATATACAAACTTACATATATATATTTTACATATATTTATCCTGCTTTAGAGAAACTCACAGCCTAGTGGGAAACAGGGAACAAACCAGAAAGTGGAACAGATTAATGTCCATGACTATGGACAGTTGGAGTAATTATCAACCTGGGTTGTAACTGTCCAGTGTTGTCGAGGCAATGACTAATGGTAATGTTATTCCCCATCTCCACATACCAGAACAAATCATCAAAGCTTTTTTTAAAGATTTTATTTTATTTTTATTTTTAGAGAGGGAAAAGAGGGAGATAGAGAGAGAGAGAGAAACATCAATGTGCGGTTGCTGGGGGTTATGGCCTGCAACCCAGGCATGTACCCTGACTGGGAATCGAACCTGCGACACTTTGGTTCGCAGCCCGCATTTAATCTACTGAGCTATGCCAGCCAGGGCTAAGATTTTAAATAATAACTATTAAAATACAGTATTCTTTTACGTGTAATATCACGAAGTCTCACAATGTTGGTAAAATCAACCAGTTATCAATATGTCCATTTGGTTTCCCTTCGGTAGGGGTGTTTCTTCCTGTTTATGGCAAGCTGTGCCCTGCCAGTGATGGCTTTGACCCAATCATCATTGGATTTTTCCCTTGTGGGGGAGGAAGAAACTTTCCTCTATTGTTCAATGTTCTTTCGGCAGGTCTAATAATGAAGTACACATGAGACAGATTAAGAAGAGAAAATAACCAAATTTAATTGCACATGTATGCATGAGAGAGTCAGACCACACACACACACACACACACACACACACACACACACACACACGAGAGGTTCAGGGCAGGAAGTTAAAATGGCTTGCATGGCATTCTGAGCTAAGGATGAAGTCAAATGCCTCGTGGCTGCAGAGGGGAGGAAGGTCACATGCGGGATGATAAGAAGAGCAGATGTTCAGTTATTTCTGATTAGTAACTCTTATTATGGGCAAGAATTTGTAAATTCTTCTGGGTATTGAAGGCAGGGACAGAAGCTTCTCTTGAGTCTCCAGGATCTCAGTTGATTCAGCTCAAGATAATCCACATACCACAAGGGTAGATTTTAGGGTGACGCGTTCTGAACCCTAACACCATAAGGTGTATTTAACCAATCAGCGCAAAAATGAATGTCTTGTGTTGATCACTTTAGCTGTACACATGTGAAAGGTTCAGCATTCACCAATATGCTGGGCAAAAATTCCCTGGCTGTGTTAGTACCCATTTCTTCAGTTCTAAATGTTTTCTAATTTCCGTTACGATTTTCTGACCCATGTGTTGATTGGAAGAGTAGAAATATGCGAGTTTCCTGGCTGACTTTTGGTTGTTGACTTCTAACTTAACTACACAGTGGTCAGAGAATGTGGTTGCTATGGTACCGATCCTTAGACAAGTAGAGAGACTTGCTTTATAACCCAGCATGTTCAATTTTTATAAACGTTTCACATACTATTCTTGAAAGGAATAGGTATATCTGTAATTATTGAGTGTAACGTTCTACATATATTAGTCAAATGAAGCTTGGGAATTGTGTTGTTATTCAAATCTTCTCAGTCCCCTAAAGACTTTTTGGTCCCCTTGACCTGTGTATTAGTTTTCTGTGGCTGCTGTAACACATTACCACAAAAGGCCATCTTTGTGAGGCAGGAGATAGTCAGGAGGGAGGAAACTCCGGAGGTGCCCCAGGGCTAAGACAAAGGACATCAATACAGGACAGAGACCCTGTTCTAAGACCTGTTGTTTCCACTTTTTGGAAAAGTGCTGGATCATGGTGAATCATGAATGCACCTGCGCAGAAGATGCTATAGGACTCCTGCTTCATTATAATAGCATTATAATGAATTAACATTGTGGGACCCCTTCCCCAGTGGCCAATCAAGGAAAATCATGGGAGACCACAAGCACTGTAGCTCTAAAGTATTGTCACTACTTGTATGTGCACAATAAAAGCCCACCATAACTAGCCAGGAAAGAGCCGCCCTATAAGAATAGAATCCCACAGAGCCCCTGAGGTCAGTCTCTGCTTGGATTTGATCCCCTCCCATGTTCTGTGGAATGTACTATCGCTTAATAAATCTGCTCTCTCTCTTTCTCCTATAAACTCTCTGTGTGTTTGGTTCAATTCTTTGTCCTCGATCACCAAGAACCTGGTTACCCATTCCCACTTGTGACATTGGAACAACAGACATGTATTCTTTCACAATTCTGGAAGCTAGAAGTCTGAAATTGAGGTATTAGGAGACTTGCATTCTTTCTGGAGTTTCCAGGGGAGAATCCGTTCTTTGTTTCTCCCAGCTTTTAGTGGCTGTCAGCATTTGTTTGGGTGTGTGTCTACACCACTCCAGTCTCTGCCTTTGTGGTCACGTTGCGGCCACCTCTTCTGTCTCAAATCTCCCTCTACCTTTCTTTTATGAGGACGCTTGTCATTGGATTTATGACCCACCTGGATAATCCAGAATGATTGTCTCAAATCTTTAGTTAAATCTGCAAAGACCTGTTTTAGAGTAACATTCACAGGATCCAGGGATTAGGACATGAACACATCTTGGGTGGCGGGGGTTACTAATAACCCACTGCAATCTGTTAAAGAGACGTGTGAAAATCATCTACTCTGGGGCTAGATTTCTTTCTTCTTGTACTTGCCAACTTTTTGTGTTTTGTATTTGTAACAATGTTATTAGAGACACATTTATGACTTTTATTTTCCTTATGTATTGAATCTTTTATTATGGAATACCTCTCTTTATCTCCAGTCACCCACCCACCCACCCACCTACCTACCTAGTCTATTAATGACGAACTCAGCTGTTAGTTTGAAAAAGACTTCCTCTTCCTTCTTCTATCCTTCTCTGTTGTTGTTGGGTGGAGAATTGTGAATTCCACCCCCCCCCCCAGCATTTCATGCAATTGACTTTTCCCCCTAATTTTGTATTCCCAAAACAAAACTTCCAGAGAATTAGAAACACGTGCTGATTCAAAAAATATGTCTTTAATTCATATAAAGGAGGCTTGTCTGAAATTAAATCATTCTGTTACTGGTAAAATTGTTCCATTAGGCATAGTGCAGAATATATTGGGAAAACGTATGTAAAGAAGCTGAAACAAATGTGGATATTGAAGTACATCTATTTCCTGGTGGCTGAAGTGATTCTTCATTTCACACTAATTACATATTTTTTGGAAAGAAAGATTATCTGCTAAATTAAATGTAATAAAGGTTTCCCTAGACACTCCTTCTTAGCACCAGTAGCTAGAGCAAGCTCTACAATAAAGAATTATAGCATAGATTCTGCTATTACTTATATTGCTATAATTTGAGAATGCAGAGGAAACTTGTAAATTACATAATCCTTATTCTTTGCCCCTCAAGATTTACACAATCTCAAACTTGTAGTCAGATTAGTGAAATGGTGCACGAAGGTTGGTATTTTAAGTTTAAAATTTCTGGCCTAAATTGTATGGAGTTAGGGATTTAAAAAAAACCATGAATCTTTCAAACGTATTATTATTGTTGTTGTTGTTATTATTAGCCACCCTGCTAAGTTTCACTTTCTCCTCTCGGTTTTCAGGGTCTGGGAGGTGTGAATTAAGGCCCCAGCAGTCCCATAAAGAGCTGTCCAGGCGGGTCCACTCGTTTTCAAGTTGCAAGGCGCTTCTCCGGGGCTGCTGTGGCTCCCTAGTTCCACCCTCAAGCCAAGGCCGGGCTGCAAGGCCTCTGCGGTGCGAAGGCCCGGTAAACTGGCTGAGCACTCGAAAAACACCCTCGAATCGGTGGAAGACCATCGGCCAAGGATTGTACTCAGTTTATGGAGCCGTCCAGATACCCGTCGTCCGGGTAACCAGACTGCGAACGCGCATGCGCAGCCCAGTACCCTTATTACATGAGGCCAAGGCGCAGGAGGGCGGGGCGGGGGGCGACCGAGGCTCGCCCGGGCCCTTGGCCTCTGGGTTCTCGGGGCCGGGCCAGCGGAGGCGGGGCGAACCGCTGCCCTATTGCGTGGCGGTGACTCACAGCTCCCGCCCCTTTTTGCTTTGCTCTCTTGCGGCTCGTTCCTCGTACCACGTGCTTTCCTGGCCGCTCCCCCAGCTGCCTGTTGGAAGCCGCTGTAAAATGTCGTGAGGGGCGTTGCCGCTTTACGGTTGCCTCTCCCAGACCAGAGCCCGGGAGCGCCCACCGCCGTCAGCCGCGACTGCTGGAGTCAGCCCGGCGCAGAGTGCGAGGCCCGGCGTACCACTGTCTTCCCCTTCGCGCCCTTCTGGCCCCCGGCGATGTGACTCCGAGGAGGCCGTGGTGCCCCCTGGCCCGGGGTTGAGACGGGCGGCAGGTGCCTGCGAGGCGGGCGGGTGCTGGGGGCCAGCAGGATGGAGGAAAGCATGGAAGAGGAGGAGGGGGGCAGCTACGAGGCGATGATGGATGACCAGAACCACAACAACTGGGAGACCGCTGTGGATGGCTTCCGGCAACCCCCACCACCCCCTTCGTCGATCCCAGCTCCTGTCCGAGAGCCTCCGCGGGGGCAGCTGCTGGCGGTGCCAGCGGTCTCGGTGGACAGAAAAGGCCCCAAGGAAGGGCTCCCGTTGGGGCCGCCGCCACCGCCGGAGCCTAATGGGGTGATCATGATGTTGAAGAGCTGCGACGCGGCGGCCGCCGTGGCCAAGGCGGTCCCCGCCCCCACCCCCAGCTCCACCATCAACATCAACACCTCCACTTCCAAGTTCTGTGAGTCCAGCCTTTCCCCAGCAGCCTCCTCTTTTTTCCTCCCCCACCCGGACGCCGCATCCACCCCTGTCGGAGCAGCCCCGCTTCCTTTGTTTCAGGCCCGGGTCTCTCCTTCCCTCCTCTCCCCTCCCCGCCTCCTCCCCCCGTTTGGTGCCTGCGGCCAGCGCCGGAGTGGCCCAGTCTTCTTGTGTTACCTGTCCTAGAGAAGCACCCGGTGCGCACGTAGCCCCAAGTTCTCCTGCAGACGCGATCCTTATCACAGCCGGCTGTCACTCAACATTAGGACGCTCTTCTCTTCTCCCTACCTCCCCCTTAAAGTTTCACCCTCAAACGTGAGAGGAAAAGAAGGCGGCTTGAGTTTCCATAGAGAGGAGCCTTCAGTCTTTTTTTGCAGCGAGGGAGAGGAAAATCTGGGAGCTTCCATTCTTGCTTGCGCTTTTAGCTAGTCTACGTTAAACACGTTAGGAATTAGCAAGTTGACCTATATCTACACTCGTTCTTTCTCTTCTCCAGTGTGCACCTCCTGCATCCCAGAAAGGAAATCTCTGAGTTGCTTGTTGGGTAAACCAGTGCAGTGGGAGCCGTGACATCCGTTTGGAAGATAGTAACCCATGAAATTATTTTCAAAGCAGCCTACACTGATATAAATAAGCCACTCAGCATGTGTCCAAATCCAAAATTCTGTTGGCGTGTTGGACTTTATTTAACTGATTTGCTTAACACTCAGTTGCAGGCAGAGAAGTTGAAGACCAAAATCTGTTTTGTAATCCGAAACTGCCCCCAACCAGGATGTATGCTTCCATAGCTAGGGAGAAAAATCTGCTTTTGCTTTCAGTGGGTTTTCTTGGGGCGGGGAGGAGGGAAATTGACCTTCGCAGGCAGGTTTCTCTCCTATTAATTTCTCTCCTGCAAGTTTTGAATGGCGCCTGGTAAAGCTACTGGAGGTTTCATTTCTAGTCACTAATTCTACCAAACTGCACCAGTAATTGTTCAATTAGCATTGCAGAAAAATGTTTGCCATAATTCAGATATATAATGACAGACTTATTTTTTTGTGAGAACAGCACATAATCTTACTTATTTGCCTTCAAGATACTGCTTTAATCAAAAACATTCATATGTAGGTATGGTTGATAAAATTTGTATTTTATTTTTCCCATGTGCATACATGGGAGTAATATTTATGTTGTATACTTTGTGTGTTGAAGTCTCTGTGGGGAAGCGGGATCTGGGACAGAGTAACAGGGTGATTTATCTTAATGCTCAAGGAACCTTGCTGTAGGGCTCAGAGTTCATTTGAAGAGTTAAAAAAAACCCCTAAAAAAGCAGAGATCAGTGAAATTAAGGAACAAAAGATTTGCCAAAAAAAGATTGTTCTTTAGAGGTAAAGAAGCTAGACAGACCTATGTTTAATAAGATACAAAAAAGATGTAAATAAAACATATGAGAAATTGTAAATAACCACAAACATGAGATTTAAAAAATAATTTTATGAATTTCTATAGGTTAATAAATTTGAAAGCCTAGATGAAATGTATAGATTCTTAGAGAACTATAAACTGTGAAAGTTGGTGGTTGGTGTCAGAAGAAAAAGATAGCTTGAATTGCCTAATAAATCTTTAATGAATTGAAATGGTAGGTAAAGACCTTCCCTTTAAAAAAATCTAGATCCTGGTAATCTTTAAGCAAATTACATTGAACTTTTACTTATTTTTTAGTTTTTAAGATTTTATTATTTATTTCTAGAGAGGGGAAGGGAGGAAGAAAGAAGGGAAGAGAAACATTAATGTGTGAGAGAATCATTGATTGGTTGCCTCTCGCCCTCTCCCCAGCTGGGAACCGGCCTGCAACGCAACCCAAGTGTGTGCTGGAGCAGGAATGGAACCCAGTGACCCTTCACTTTGTGGGACCGTGCCCAACCAACAGCCATACCAGTAGTTGCATTGAACTTTTAGATAACACTTAATTCCTTTTTACAAGTTGTTTTGGCAAACAGGAGAAAGAGAGATGCCACGGTCATTTTATGAGGTTAGTGAAATTACAGATGTTTCTCTTACTAGCAAAGATATGAAAATCTTACACAATATGCTAGCTCATCAGATCCAACGATACATTAAAAGAATTATCCGTAGTGTTCGTTTTAGGAATGTAAACATGGTTTAACATTTAGTTATCTATTAATATAATTTATCTCATCAATAGGGTAAGGAGAAAAATCATGATTATCTTGATACCATAAAATTACATAAGATCCAGCTCAAAATACAAGATAACTATATAAAAGTTATTACTAAAAGCCTACATCAAATAATACCTAATGGGGAAATTTTAGACACTTTCACTTTAAGATCAGTAATAAGATAAGGATGCCCCCATTATTATTGCTGTTTAACATGATAAGAAAGATCCTGGCTAACACTATAAAGGGAAAAAATAAGTGTAAGGGTAGGAAGGGAAATAAACTCAAAATTTGCAGATAACATCACTTACTTTAGAAGAACCATTAGAATCAAAAGAGAAACTTAGGACTAGTAAGAGTTTAGCAGGGTTGCTGGATTAAAGATCAACATACAAAAGTTAATAGCACTTACTATGCTAGCAATAATCAACTAGTAAAGGTAATCAGAGGTAAATATTGTAAAAATAATAGCAATAAAACTGAAGTCTTTAGGAATTAACTTGAGAATATATAAAACTTTAAAACTTTAATGAAGAAGAGGACCTAAGTAAATGGAAGGAAAAACTTTTCATGTTCTTGGGATAAGATTACTTATAAGAATGTCAGTTTTCTCTTATTTTAACCTATAAACTAAAATGCTGTCAAAATAAAGTGCTTCTCAGATAAGGTCAAGTTGAAGGAGTTCATCATCACCAAGCCCTTATTTTATGAAATGTTAAAGGGACTTATCCAAGAAAAAGAAGATAAAAAGTATGTATAGTAAAATGACAGCAAACTCACAATTATTAACAACCACACCTAAAACAAAAACAAAACAATCTAAGCAAACAACTAGAACAGGAACAGAACCACAGAAATGGAGATCACCTGGAGGGTTAGCAACAGGGGAGTGGGAGGAGGAGAGAGGGAAAAGGTACGGAGAATAAGTAGCATAGATGGTAGATAGAAAATAGGGGGAGGGCAAGAATAGACAGGGGGAAATGTAGGAGCTAAAGAACATATGACACATGGACATGAACTAAAGGGGGGGAATGTGGGTGTGAGAGGGTGTGCAGGGTGGAGGGGAATGAAGGGGTGGTAATGGGACAACTGTAATAGCATAATCAATAAAATACATTTTAAAAAATCTATCCATAGAGAAAAACACTGAAAAAAAAATTCAAAATATAAATGATTGTCATTGAGTAAAAAAAAAGAAAAAGGAACCAGTGAATGCATTAAAAAATATTCCATTTGGTTTGACAAACTCAGTCACCTAATCTAAAATTTATATGGCAAGCAAGATAAAGCTTGTAAATTGCTAAATCAGTCTTAAAGATTTGCTTTGACTGGGCTTGCCTTATCAGAACTTAAATCAGACGTTAAAATGTTTTAAGGTGGTAGCAGGAAAAATTAGCGTAAGTGCAAGAACCAAAAAAACAGACCAGGAAACAAATTAGAGGGCAGAGACTTAGCTATGCACATTCAGAACTGAGAGGTGACGCCGTAAATCATGGCGGAAAGGAGTCGTTTTAGGGAGAGTGGCTCACTACACGGACAACAGACCCACCTGACCCCATAAACAGGATGGACTCTGGACAAATTAAAGATCTGAGTGCGAAAGGAAAAACTGTAAAATTAATAGAAGACGGTGCTGCAGAAGGTCTTTACCTAAGGACAGAACTTCTTAAACCTTCACAAACCTGAGGAAGAGAAAAGGGCCAGGTCCCCAGTTGGGGCGTGCGTGTGTCATTGTTTCTCTCCTTCTCCCTCCCTTGCCCTCTCTTTAAAAATAAAATCTTTAAACAATTTTCTTTAAAAATTAAGGCTTTTTCATTCTGCAAAAGACACATGGAAGAAGGAGAGAACATAGTGATGCCTAAAATTATCAAGGTAATCAATAAAAAGAGGGGCTTGACCCCTGTGGGAAAAGAGGGAAAGGAATATTAATAAGTAGATTACAGAATAGAGAAGTAGATTACATCTCTGTGCTTGTTACATCCTAACAAACATAGAGATGTTTGAAGTGATTAAATACCTAGGTGTTACAATTACAAATTACAGTAATGCACGTCTTTTTTCACCTGTTAGGTTTGGCAGAAATAAGAGAGCAGCATAATAAGCACCAGGTGTGGGTGGGGACGTGGGGACAGAGGACCCGCCGGCAGGACTGCCGGTGCCTCGGCCTGGAGGAGCTGAGATGGCCAGAGCCGCGGGGGACCAGACAAGACAAGGAAGGGAGCTGGCGCGCTGCTGCTGCAGCCGGGAGCTGTGACGTTGAGAGGGTATTTCTGGACTGTCAGATGAGAACAGCTTCTGCTGGTCTGTTTTGGAATAGATTGGGGGGAAAAGACCTCTTTTTTTCTTAGCTCGATGGATGCATTTTAGGTGCTAGATACTGTGTTGGTTTGTCCCTGTAAAGGGACCATATCTGGAACAGCAACTACAATGTAGTCACCGCTTGATTTGATTTCCTAGAAGCTACGTTCTTCAAGACCCAGCTTCTCTGCACTGGCCATATGGGCTGGTGGAATCAGCGTTGTAACAGTCACTGTTCCTGAATCTCACAAGCCTTTGAAAGATGGTTCCTCCGCAGGGTCCCCAGGCGCGTGCTTTGGGTTTATTAGCTTGGAAGGAAGGGGCACGTGTAGCGGATTCACTTGCCCTTCCTACGCTGCTAGCCCTCCCTGTGCGGTTCAGGGAACCCCTCATTGTGCATTCAGGAACTCAGGATCTACAGGGTGGGTCCGTGGGTCCACTGGGCCCACAGCGAGATGGGTCGGGGCCGGGTCACCATTCCTCAGTGTGACATCGCCTGCTGATCTGACTGCTTCGCCACAGT